ATTTATATATATATATATATATATATATATATATATATATATATATATATATAGAACTTGAGAAAAAGAGTTTAGTTTTGAACCAAGATTAAAATTAAATTATACTAATGGAAATAGGTATGAAATGGACATAATTGATATTGATATGTAATTTATACATTTAATACATTGTAAAACATTAAAAATTACATGATTATAATGATGAATAGATATTAGGCTCGATGATAATACTGCTATTAATTTGTAAATCTCGTCTCGATTTCATTTATAAGTAATTCAAACTTTATTTTCCTTTTTATTCACTTATTGAAAATTTATTAATTATACACATGTATTAAGAATACACAAACTGGATTTTACTTTTTACATTTATTATATTCGCATTGTATCGAATCTTAGAACATAGAATATATTAAATACTGAAAGTGTCATAACTTTAGGGACGATAGCACAAAATTTTGAATAATGTAAAAGACACAATACATAAGAAAATGAACGAATTAAAATCCTTCATTTCCTTTCCTTTCTACAAAATAAAAGTCCGATTGATTTTCTTATACATTATATAAAGATCTGTGCTTTGGTCTTTACCTTCAATCAACAATATTGGACTTTAAAGGCAGAGTTGATTTTTTTACTTGGAATTTTGATAAATAAATTTAAATTTGTAAAAAATAAGTAAAATTTAATCCATCTTCTAAAAACTTGTTTAAGCTTTTAGAAAACACGAATATGCAAGCTTTTTTTAGATTTTTATACAGTCTAGAACACAGGTAATTTTTATCTAACGTAAGTGTGTAAATTTCGAATAGATAAGGACAGATAAATATTGGAGACACTTTCTATATTATTCGAATTAACTTTTAATCTACATGTTCGAAATATCGAATAAATCTTTAGATTGTGTTACTTATAATACGTTTATTTTCAGGTTGAAAAATGTCTCGGTATCGCGAATGGGATCTATCTTGCAAGGTTTATGTTGGTAATTTAGGCAGCAGCGCTAGCAAACATGAGATTGAAAGCGCATTCAGTAAGTATGGTCCACTAAGAAATGTGTGGGTAGCTCGAAATCCTCCTGGTTTTGCATTTGTGGAGTTTGAAGATCCACGAGACGCTGAAGACGCCGTAAGAGGATTGGATGGAACGTAAGTTTGAACATTAGTAATTCTTATATGCAATTCATTTTTATTTATTAAGATACAAAGAACCCTGCATAACTCTTATGTGGAATTTTGGTACCCTTATCGAATTAACCGAAAATTTAATATGTTGTGTAGATCTTGTCCTGATAAAAAGTCTCTACAGTACTTAAAAATATATATAGAAAATGCAAATAATGACGTAGGAATGTACTATACTTGTTGAAAATAAGATATTGAAGTATTGATTCGTTTTGAAAAATAACGCCTAGTAGAAGTCAAACGGTTCATTGTAAGGTTCCTGCCTGTGGACTTTTTATCAGAATATATCTAATTTTTAGCCGATTCAACTGAAAATCAATTTCCATAAGATTTGCAAGGTCCTTTCAAAGATCTAAAGATTATGTTATAGGTTATATTAATTGTTAAAGGTGTATATAGTTTCTACGAAAAATTAGAAATTTATTTATAAAAATTGTTGTAAATTACTGATTAATACTTTTATATTTGAGTCAGATTTTAGGAAGATAACTTTATTATAACGAACTGTTAAACATCAGAGACAAACAGCGAAAGTATAATAAAAGAGAGAGTAGCTAAGCAACTAATAAAATATTAACATGGTACTTTGTTGTGCATTCTAATCACACACCACATGCATGCTCCTTCTAGTGCTCTTACACAGTCACGACATCTGACTGAACTCACTAGATTATTCATATTAATAACACTCCTCCTTAATCTAGTGAGTAAAAACAAATAATGTTTTATTGATTGTACAACTTCTAAACTTAAACCTTCGAAACAAAAAAGATGTTTGGCATTACTTAACAATTTCGTAGAAATGTCTGCTATCAATAGATTCATATTGCAAGTATTATTTGTTTATTTTCAATAGTTTCTCTGATAAAATGATATTTAACATCTATATGTTTAGTTTTATTATGAAAAATTAGATGCTAACCTCTGAGCAGGATTGGTAAAAAAACATATTTTAAACATGTAAAATGCGTTTTGTGGGTTTCCTCCATGTCCAGATCTTGAAATGTCAACATTTCGTGAATCTTGCGGTTCACTTCATCAGGGCGAAGAGCAGCCTGATACTGAGCTGTTCCTTCGGGCCGTTCTCTTTTTTTGTACGCTACTTGTCGGAGTGGTGGGGGAAAAAAAGAGAATTATGGGTGAGGGGGGAGAGGGTGGGAATTGATCAGTCTTCAATAACCGGGAGAATGATTTTCCATATTTTATTTATGTTGTAGCTATTATTTCTATTTAGAATGTTTTTGTATTTCTATGGCTTCTCTATAGTTTCTTGGAAAGTATGAAATAATGTTGGCTATTGTGATCGAAACGCATAACTTTTATATAGAAAGCATCCATGGAAGCTTTAATATATATTTTAAACATGTTTAAAACATGTTTTAAAAGTAGCTCTAAAATATAATCTTTCTGATTCACATTTATGCATTTTGATTTCTTTCAATATTTAATCCTAAGCATCTTTTGACTTGTTCCAAATCTTCGATTTAAAAATTTTTTATCAATTTTTTCAACTTTCAAAGCTATCATTAGAAAATATAAAAAAATTAACATACAATAATTATCAAATGCAATAATTATGAGAAACTTGTCTGTAACTTTGAAAAATATATTTACATGCTTCAAATTTAGACTTTTGAAAACCAAGTGCGAGAGTTATGTTAGGGAAAAAGTATTTTAGCTAGCTATTAGAGCTATTTTAGGGAAAAAGTAACGAACTATATCCATTGTTATTGTATGACATTGTATGAAAAACCACATTTCTTTGAAAATGAAAGAACTTCATGTTTACGAAAGTTCCAGAATAGAGGTCTAAGCTTTACAATTTTCTAGTAATGATGAGATTAACTTATTAGTATTAAATATGAAATTTATAAATAATACGGAGAAATAAATTGTTCAATTATTTATTATTGTGAAAGATTATTTAATGTGATTATTGAGTATCAATTACTTATATTATAAGACTATTGTAATTATTTTTAAAATTGATCTTTTTTTATTTTTGTCCAAAAGAAGAAAAAAATAGTTTGATTTAGTGAGATTATTATATATTTAGTTGAGGGTCAAGTGACATACTTTTCATCTTTTAGACGATGTTGTGGCACCAGAGTGAGAGTCGAGATGTCCTCTGGGAGAAGTCGCCGTGGTGGTGGCGGTCGCAGACCTGGTCCTCGTTATTCTAGGTAAGAGGTTACATAGCATTTCGCAGCAACCGCGCACTTTACAGCGAAAACAAGCGTTAGAGCTGTGACTAAGCGTTCCTCGCCAACGTAGGTATTCATGGTGTAGAAGAGCTCTCTTGCTCTCAGAGCAAAAGTGCGCTCTTATCACCAAAATGAACAATGCACGAGTCTTGTTTCATTACAGTGAATACTTTTTCGTGC